TTGCTATGATCTTTTCTGTGTATCCTCTGGCATTCTCAAGACCATTTCAGTGAAATTGAAGTTTGCATGTAAAATCAGACTGTACAGAGAAAATCACCTGCTGTCAGAATTACTCTAGTAAATCACTTAGAATGTCTCTATTTTAGATATCTCAAGGTCTAATACAGTTAGTTTTTTTACCAGCAGTGGAAGAGATAATTACTTATATTCAAGACAGATAACTGGCTTAGAAGATTTGGGCCAAAACCACATTGTGGGGTGAATAGATCCCCTTCCTTCAAAGACATTAAATTCTGAGAAGTGTCTACAGCAAGTGAGACGTCTACACGACAAGAGGCGGAGGGAATGGCAGATACAAGTTCTTTTTGGCATACTTACTCTTTACTGTTGTAAATTTTTGACTGAATGGTGAATACATGGCTCCTGCCTGAAAGCAAGCAGGATGCTCCCTTTGTCTACCTGGGGCCCAATGCATTGTAGAAAGTTAAACTACGACAAGTGACCCAGATGGAGGGAAGATCTAGATAAAATAGATAGCATTACCTTGACATTAAAAGGTAGATTTATCTGGGTCTGTAAGAACTGTCAATGTCATCAAGTCACCTAATCTAGGCAGCTATGACATGGACACAAAATCACCCCAACTCACACTTGCCATTAGTATACTGGCCAGTTTACCCTGCCTGTCTGCTTTCAGAATCGGAATGTGTTCAACATTACATGACTTTTACTCCAGCACCACGATTATAAGGAATATTTGACAACAGACCTTCAAACATTTAGAACGTATCTACTGTGTGCTTATTGTGACATGTTTGGGAAGTGGGAGTAAATACTAATGAAACACATTTCCTTTATCCTTCAGTCTAGCGGAAGAGCAAGCAATACACAGGAAATTAGAACACAATCAGTGCAAGTTTGGGCTCTACAGGAATACACAGGAGTGGGTCTTACCTTGAGCCAGGCTCAGAAGAGGGAGGCAATTCTTTCAAAATGCAGGGAGCTGCATGAGTCTGTAGCATGAGTAGTAGGGGATTTTTTGTTTGACAAGTGTTGATGATGAAGTGAATAGAAGATGCCTGTGTGCCCCGAATACAAACTATATTTTCAGGAAGAATAAAATGTAGGTATGAGCCACAAAGAAGAGTCTGCACCTCTGATGAGAATCTGCAGAGCAGTTGAAAGCTCAATCCTGCCTAAAAGAAAAAGAAAACAGAAAAATTGACAGCCCTCAATGGCATTTCAGTCCCTTGCTAGAGTAATGTTTACGTGAAATATCAAATACTTTGAAAACCTTATAGGAAATAGTATGCTAAATGTGTCTGCAAATCACTGGCAATATCATAAGCATACGTTTACATGCAACTTTTAAACAAGATCTTCCAAACACGCATGGACATGTTTGGACTACTGACAACATAACATCAGCAAAAGGTTGAGCAGCACTCTTTGTTCAGTTAAGTAACTAGTCATTGATCAGTAATTTTGTCATAGAGGCACATGTTATTCAGAGGAAAACAAAAACAGCACTGGAATTGTTGGGAATTTTCAATAATTGAAGAAAATACTAAAAACAGCATATTTTTCAGGCCACTCAAAAACATCTCTTGACCACTAAAGCATATAAATGGGATATAATACGCAGGAAAACAGGGCTGAGAATATAGATTTTCTCCATAGTTCCCTTTAGTAGGTTTAATTGTATTTAGTAACTCAGTGCATCATTCATTAGATATACTACTAGTTGGACTATCTTTTTTTTTAAGCTTCTTGCTTGCTAATTGTGATCCATGCCAAATTTCTTGGAAGTGATTTTTTAATTTTAGATTCAGGGGAACCATGTATAGGTTTGTTACATGGATATATTGCATAATGGAGAGGTTTGGGCTTCCAGTATAGGATTACTGTTTTCACTTCAATACCATCGTCACCAAGAAGGCAAATGTGTGTGTCAAGTCCCAGTAAACAACTATGTCTATCCCCAGTATTAGAAGCACAAAAAGAGGAAAGAAATAGTGCAAAGAAATAGACACAAATGGTAGTAATTTCATTTTCTATACTTCACATTATTGAATCATTTCAGAAGATGTACCTCCATAAAAGCCTTATCAGAATCATAGGCCCGCCTGCGGCAAAAATACCAATCCATATTCTAACTTCCTATAGTCACATACAACTTGAAAAATACTGAATGCGCGATTGTCCTCATCATTTCACCAAATCATTTAAAGACAAAACAATTGTCAGGTGCTGCCCCAAATGATATTGTTTAAACACCCACTAGCAACATCTATTAATATATTTTTTGCCTTTCAGATTTCTAAATGTTTGTTTCAAAATAGTAGGAGAATAACTACTCCCATTGTATTCAGCAGAAAGTTTTATTCAATGGGAAGCAATAAAATATAATGAAACAAAGCACCTATGATTCAGAATGAGAAAGACCTGCTTTTGAATCTTGGCTTTGCCATTTACTAGTTGTATGACCTTGGGAAAATTGTTTAACATCTTTGAACCCCAGCTCCCTGAGTCCTAAAATCGAGGTATTAGTAGCTACCTAATTAGGCAGTTGTATTAATAAAGACATCACGTGTAAAACATACTGTACTGCCTGGCTCACTTTAGAGACTCGGTAATAGCTACTATCATGATTACTTGTTATTAATACTAAAATGGCTTTTATTGACTTCTGATTTCATTGTTAGTGCTTTTCTGAGACGGAGTCTTGCTCTGTCGCCCAGGCTGGAGTGCAGTGGCCGGATCTCAGCTCACTGCAAGCTCCGCCTCCCGGGGTTCACGCCATTCTCCTGCCTCAGCCTCCCGAGTAGCTGGGACTATAGGCGCCCGCCACCTCACCCGGCTAGTTTTTTGTATGTTTTTAGTAGAGACAGGGTTTCACCGTGTTAGCCAGGATGGTCTCGATCTCCTGACCTCGTGATCCGCCCGTCTCGGCCTCCCAAAGTGCTGGGATTACAGGCTTGAACCACCGCGCCCGGCCGTTACTGCTTTTCTAAATGTGCTCTTCAGGAGAAGAGTTTGGGTTTTGGACTACTAAAACCTGTGTTTGAATCCTGAATGTTCTGTGGAATGCAGGAAAGGCCACTTAACCTCTGAACCAGAGCTGCTTCCATTGAAAAATTTGAGTATTAATGCCTACATTGCCAGATTATTACAAAGATTGAATGAAGTCATCTTCAGGACACAGAGTAGACACTCAGTGCCTAATAACTTCTAGTATTAATATTATTGCAATAGCAGTAGTTGAGAAACAAGGAATCATCTGATTTATCTATCTTGGAGCAAAATAATACCATCTTTACAGGGATGGAAAACAAGGTTGTCTTCAGTTGCCAACCATGCTGGTTAGTGACACCATAGCATGTTCTGTGAGAAGGACTACAGTATTTAGTGAAGCCACGTATGAATTGCAATGTTGATGAATACAGAAATTAGGATGCCTAATACGTAACCATTATATTTAAATATCCTGGGATATCTGCACAAAGCCACTTACAAATGCAAAATAGTCTACCAATACTATATTTTACAAACTGGGAGTATAAAGCAACTGTCTTATTTTCATGAGTAAGGCATTGGAAAAAACAGTAGTATTACGTGGGAAAGCAGGAAAAAGAAAAAAGGACCAAATCCTTTCACTCTATTTTTCTACAAAGCAATTCTTTGGCAAAGCATTGTCCCAATTTGTCATCATCCAAACATTCTAAGTTAACTTGTTTCCATTTATTCAAAGCAGCAGTAGTGACTATTATAAATGAAGTGAAGCATAGAGACCTTAAGATAACAAAGATTTCTCAAGGGTGATTCTAAAATGTCCCTGTATGTTACAAATAATTGCTTTAACACAAGATGTATAAAAAATAAGAGGAGCATTCCATTTAAGAACCAATTACTTAGAAACCAAAGGAACAGGCCCGAGAAAATTTGCTGTAATCAACTGGTTTTATTTCCTAGAACTGAAATATTCTACGGTTGGTTCTCAGATCTAAACTTCCGAAGCTGCAGTCAACAATTTTTCATCAGAGCCCAAAGGAGAGGGGAAGGGGTAAAGAGACAATATATGGAGAAAGGCACATAGACCATTAGGAAGAGGGTGGGAGGAGACACATCTTCCTCTGTTTTATCAGTGGGCTACATACTAGACCTGTTGATGGGACCAGGTGATGGTACCTGAGTGGAAAATGACACTGAGGAACAGCAAAGCCTTACTACAAGTCATAAAACCTCAAACAGAAAGGGAGCCTTCTAGTTTATCTCAAAAATGGAATAGCAATGGGAAAGCTAGGGCCAGTGTGGAGGCACACCTAGGGGTAGTTCTTAAAAATTTTTTGGAACTTCCTTTTATTGAAAAGATTTTCTAAAATATGTGTCTTTACGCCTGAGTGATATGTAGGACCGTAGCGTGGCCTTGAGGCTGTGGGGAAAGCGGCAGCCAAGGATCTTCCCAGGGTATCCCATCAGTGGCCCCAGAGATCTAAATGGGGACAGATATTTCTCAAGGTCCCCACCCAGGATACTGGGCAAAGTCAAGTTTTCAGATCTCACAAACAACTTAGAAGCCCCCAAACGTTTTGATGAAAAATGGCAACTCCCGGAACCTCTTGGGTCAGCAAAAGGATTTGTGGGGGCGGGGGGGGGGATTCCCCACATGCTGCCCCACTTTTCCCTGAATGTCTAAAGCTGGGAGGTATGGCAGGCGTGGTCGGGAGCTCAGGAAGATGTCACTCTCCTGTCCGCTAACTAACTACCACAGCTTGAAGACTGAAAGTGCCCCCTGCTCTTCATCTTTCAGGTCTTTCGCTCCTACCCACATTCCTAAGCAGAGGTCCATAATGTCTGGGGGAGCAGGAGGGGTAGGGAGGGGTGTCTAGAGGTGAAAACAGCCTGCCTGAGTCCCAAGTCGGAAACGGATCCAGGCAACGGTGGGGGCGGCGGGGGGGGGGGGGGTGTTGAGCGGCGAGAAGAGGGAGAGGAAAGCGGGGATGGTGGCCTCACTTTACCCCAGGGAGGGAACTGAGGCCCTGACTCAGATCACAGAGGCGTGGGGGCACAGAGGTGAGAGTCAGGTGATCTGCCATCCAGGGGCCGGGCAGGGCAAGGGAGTGTAGGTTGGAGGAGGACGGGCTGGGGAGGGGGAAAGGCAGTCCCAGTTTGCAGGCCATGGCCAGATTCCCCAAGAACAACCGGGCCGCAGCAGGAACAGGGCAGGGGCTCTTCTGGAAACGCTGGTAACTACACGCTGTCGCGATCTCCGCTGCCCGGTGCCTCGGCATGCCACTCCTGGGAGGCCTCCTCGTCGGCAACTTCTTCCTCCCGGAGCTCCTCCTCCTCTGGCTGAGGCGGCTCGCAGGCCAGGCCGGGCTCGCTAGGGGCGCTGCCGTTCTCCACCGCCACGAGGAGCGGACTCTCCTCGTCGAAGGCCGCCGCCGCCGCCTCCGCCTCCTCCGCCTCCTCCGCCTCCTCCTTCTCCTCCTTCTCCTCTTGGTCGGGGGCTGCTTCCTTGGGTCGTTTGGGGGCGTCCTCCGGCGGGTCCCCCGCGCTCCTCTTCAGCGGCCCCTTCTCCTCCTTCTCCTCCTTCTCCTCCTCAGCGGGCTTGTCGTCGTGCGGCTTCCCCACGTCGTCGCCGCCGCCATCAGCGTGAGTCGGCTTGTCCGCGTCGCCCTCCGCGGCCTCAAGCTCCGGCCAGGGCCCGTCTCCGCCGCCCTTCTCCAAGGCTAATGGGCAGTCGGCGGCCTGGACTGTGGGGTTGTTCTCGATCTCCCACAGCCCCTCGCTGAAGCCGCGCCTCTTGTTGGGCTTGCCGAACTTCTCCTTGCACTCCTTGTACGGGAACAGGCGTTTGGGACTCAGGAAGGCCGTCTCGTGGGTCCCGAAGAAAAACACCTGGTAGCGGTTGGGCTGGGTCATGTGCTCTATCCGCGCCGGCCAGTGGGCATAGCCCTTTAACTTGGCAAACACCAGGTCCCCGCTCTTGTACATGGGCATGCCGTAGGCCGACATAGCTGGTTCTGCGGACCCGGCCTGGGCCACACCGGAAGTAGACGCCGGGGTCTGCGCGCGCGCAGTAAGGGCGGCTGCTGGGCGGGAGTTGTTGAGCGACCTGCTCGAGGGACCCGGCGCCACCTAATGGGCGGGCAACGCTCGAGGCCCCGAGAAGATTCCACTGCGAAGAGTGCATTATCTCCCGAACACGCGAAGCCGGTTGGACCCACCCTCGGACGCCATGATGTCTAGAATGCTGCAGGAAATAGCTGGGATGGCCGGGTGGCGGTTGTGCTTGTGGTGGCCTTGTGCTGCTAATCAATCTCTAGGGCACCTGGGCCAGATGGTTGCATAGTTTAAATAAACGGTACCAGAGCGGCCTAGAAAGGGGGCAATGTGACAAGAAAACACAGTGACACAATTAGTACATGTTTCCATGAAACTAGTAACAGCCTAGGGCAAGCATGCAGTGTCCCTGTGGGCCCTGATTTGCTCACTACAGGAAACTGTACACCTGCGTTAGGAATAGCTGAAGAGCTGACTGTGTCAGAGGTTTCAACCCTTTTCTGATTTTCTCCGGGACTAGCACTGGAGCCTGCAGTGAGGCTCAAGAACTAGGTGAAAGTCTGGTAAAGAGTTAGAGTCAGCAGCGTGGTTAGGATGTCTAAAGTCCACATTACTGGGTAACAAAAATGTCAAACATTATTATATCTTTAGGGTCACAAAAAGTGTATAGGACCACCACCACCAAGGCAAACAGACATCTAAATATTTCCTACTTTCTATGGAAATGTTCACCTTGGATGCCAGACATGAACTTTAAACTTTGTTGGTGATTGTATTGTATTGTGAAAGATGAGGCTATATGGTTGTAACATTGAGATCATGGCACTTGTTTTCAGTATCTTTCTAGAAGAGACGAAAATTGGGTTCATTATGCATAGGACTTAGGTAGAGATCTGCTCATATGGAACATGCTATTGGTAACTAGAACTTCCTGTGAGCTACAGACTAAAAAAGTGTAATCTCAGCTGAGAAACTATTTTAAAAAGAGAATTTTCTTCAGCTATAAGTCTCTTCTAAACATATGAATGAAAGTGTCAGTGCAACTGCAGGTGTTTACACAACTTTCTACATCTTTTTTGGATCCTGCTTGCTAGCTGTGAGCAAGCACTCTGAAACCTACCCAAATTTATCACACCAGTACTCTTGAGTATTATAACTAGACAGATGTTCCTTCCCAGTGTAACCAACAGACTAGACGAGAATCAGAGCCCTTAACCCATTTCAGTACCACTCAAATTTGTTTTCCCATTTGCTGGGTTGTAACAACCATTTGAACTCTGAATGGTTGACAGACATGCTCTAGGCAAAAGGAGATATCCCCTCCCTAACAAGGTGAAATGAACATGAAGCCCTTTGATAATTCTAAAATTCTAAACAAGTTCTTTCAGCTCTTCTGTCAAGCCATTTTCTTAGAATGCCTATCTGCCCTACTCATATGTACCACACTTTTATTAAATAAGTAACATCAACAATGCATCAACACTTCATTTACAAATCAACATCCTGCTACAGAGATGAATCTGACAAGTTCCCTCTTGTGAATTTTACAAAGTGCTAGAAAACTAGAAATGTTTAGTGGCCGTAGAAGAAAATAGGAAATGATAGGCAGCCATGGAGCCCATAATAGAAAGGAATTTGGAATTTCTGTAAGCAGAGATATTGCTATATGTGGCTTTTTTTTTTCAGCTAAGTATGCTGTACCAATGCACATATGTATGAAGTTTGCCGAAGTAGGAAAAAATCTAGCTAGATGGCATGTCTAGAAGAGGTATTTGGTTGTACAATGAGCTCAATCTGAAGGCAGGACCAGTTCTAAAAGCCATCTGCTGAAGCTGAAGGTAGCAAAGATGCCTCACTAGAAAAAGCCAACATCAATAGTTGGGTGGTTGAACTACAGCAGGTGAACAAGTATGAGGGTGTGAAGGCAGGACTGGGGATGTAAGGGTTAGAGCAATAACCAACACCTATGGAAAACTGAGAGAAAAAGTATAGCAGGAAGCAAAGACAAAAAGATCTAGTAGAGAAAGATCTAGGTCTGCAAAGAGCAGTACAGATTCTATTAAGCAAAGAAGTGTTGTTCCCCAAGTAGATCTTGTGCCTCCACCCTTGCCCACTAATACAGTGTGATGCTGAAAGGCTGGCACAAAAGATGTTTACTTTTGAGGAGCTTAAAATCTCATTTAAGAGATGAAGCCCGGGAGAGTTCATTACAGAACAATACAAGCTAGCCTTCAAATGCCAAATTGTGTGTTCTTAAATACTGAAAGAATTCCAGGAGAAATCAATGGGAGTGTGGTTACTAGGGCAGGCCTATAGAAGGGGTAGTAGGAGATAGAATAAAAACAATTCTGGCATTTCTCACTTGTTTGCCAGCTTTGTAAGGCCAGGGGTTAATATCATCTTTGTGAACCTCTGCTACGTGATTTCAAGATATTTAAAGTAATACTCAGAATTTCTTTCAGGATTATTACAAATATTAATGGGATTATGGACATGAAAGCCTAGACGATGGCTATGAAGGTCTATGATGTGCCAATAAGTGTGAAGTTGACTTTTATTATGGATTAGGCTATTATTATCATTAGGTTATATGAGGAAAAAGATATATCCAAAGTAGTAGAGAGTCGTGAATAAGGGCACTGAAGAAAAGTCCCCACCGGCTGAATTACATATTATATACAGAATTATATATCCAGCACATCTTCTTCTGTATGAAACTGACCTAAAAGTTTTTGTTACTTGGAAATATGATCTTGTAAAACAGTGTTCTCTAATTACATTTATCACCTGATGGTAGCTTATTCTACCATTAGAAAAGGGAAAATGGGAGGAAGGTTGAGAAGAAGCAACCATTTAAATAGAGTTTCATGGAGACCACTTTCACAGATACATCATTTCTTCTATTCCTACATTCTCAAGGATGCAATTAAGTGGAGTGATCTTGGCTGCTTTTACCTTTGAAACCAACTTGCTTTTAAAGCTATTGTATCTCTTGCTCAAAGTGAGGAGAGTAGAGAGGATACATTCATGATGACTTGGTTTGGTTTAGATTTAGCTAGTATATAAACAAAGTACTCATGAGCCACTGCAATGATTATTTTTCAGTAACTAAAACTCCGTGAGTATAACTGTTTCTAATAGGTCAGGATGTTTTAAAAATCATGTGTACCGGGAACACCTGTTTGTCAAGAGGACCTAATTTCAGCAGCAGCATACCTATCAAAACACCTTAGAGTCCAAAACATATAACACTTATCATTTCCCTTTTCTGGAAAACTAATGATAGGATTTAAAAGCTGCTTGGCAACAATTATGAAACATAGGCAATAAAACAACGTAATTATACAAGAGAGACAATAGATATCTAATTGATGTTTTCTTGTTTAGTTACTTTTAAATTCAATTAGCTTGGTGTAAACTATGATTTAAGAGAAACGTAATTGTTTTCTGTGTGCTTTTGTCTTCATTAAAAATATTAACTGCCTCTGGGTTTATGCAATAAAAGTGTTTATACATGGTTAGTATTTGAGATCAAGGCTTTTCTTTTTAAAATGTTCTCGCAGACATAATCATACAGAGTAAGTCCTCCCCTCCACCATGGGTAGAAACTCCCCCACTGTTCTTTTTTGAAAAGTCACAGGATGTCTGCTACCTCTATATTTTGTCACCTCTATGTTTCATCCATGTCCACAAAGCCTAGCCTCTAAAGCCTCAGGGATTTGTGCAATACTGGCAACTGCTCAGAGTGGAAATAAATTCAGTTTCAATGGGGATGTTCTAGGAGCCAAAGAGTAATTTAAGGGATGTTCCCAAAGAGCTATATCATCATCATCAATTTTTAAATATTTTTCATTTTTATTTTTAATTTTTGTGAGTACATATTATCATCATCAATTTGAAGTGAGGGTACTTGCCTTTGATAATGGACTTTGAGGAGGGAGACATGAGAGTGCAGATTTTCCAGGTGGTATATGTGCACAATTGGGCCCCCCTTGGCCAACCATGAATGTGATGACTTGGTTTGGTTGGTGTGCAGGAGGGGGGCTTTTGGGGAGATTGGAATTGTTTGCAAAACTTCTCTTTTATTGGCCATGGAAGGAAAATTGGCACTCCAAGATTAAGAAAAGTGGCTGGTAATGAATAATTCTATTTCATTATTCTTATTTGAGGGCTTAAATATTTTGAAACTTATTATTTGGGAAAAAAATTAAATAAAGTGTGTTTAAATAATATTAATACTTTGCTAATTTTGCATGATGATATTTATTCAAGCCCTCCTACATGAAAATGTATGAGTTATTTATATAACTAGCAAAGTTTAAACAAATAATAGTTATCAATGCTGGTGAGTATTCAATAATTGGGGATTAGATGCAGGTAACATCTATTTACATAATAATTACCTGATTAGATGGCCATACTCTGTAAGGTTTTTAAAGTAAAATTTAGTGACTTGGAAAATGCTTGCAATTTGAATAAAGAGACTGGATAAGATATATGGCACAGGTAATTTATGTGCTTATATGAAACCATGTTCCTTAAATTTAACATGTGGCTAATTCTAGGACCCATTTGAGAGAAAGGGTATTTGAAGTAAACAGGACAGTGGGTGTTAAACGGGATGCTTGCAACTATCAAGTGCTCAATTACTATTAGCTCTTAAAATAGTCAGTACTGGCTCTATTTTCTTAAAGTACTTAATTTTTTTCATTACGTGATATATATTTTTGTTGTTACTATTTTTGCTGCTGTTGTTGTTTCCTACAAATTGTTTCTGGTTCAGAATTTAGCTTGTTTCTCTAATTTTATTATAAGCATATAATTTTTTCTTACTTTTTGGAGGGGCAGTGTTGTTGTTGCATTAAAAGCACAGTTTGAAAGACCCGAGATCAACAAAGTCATGTTTACAAGCAAATATGAAACTCAGTTTTGCAATTTCAATTTTGTATTGCTTGCCATTACATTAAGTTGTCATGTAAATGCTTAAAATGATCAAAGCTTTTAGAAAGCCATGCTCAAATTTTTGAGGATGTAACCTCAAAAACTCAATTGTCTCAATTTTCTCTTACTCTTCCAATAGTTTTCTAGCTTTCAAAATAATTACCAAATTATTAAACTTCAGAAATAAGTAATTTATACTATTTTCATTTAAAGAAATCATCAACGGTGTGCACGATAATGAAAAGGTGGGAATTTTTAACTAAAATGTCTAATTTTGAATTACTGGAAATGATATTTTGAAGATAATTTTTATTAATAATTTTTTTCTATTTTATTATTGGAAATGCTTTTAAATTTTTAAGTAACTTTGGCT